ACACCCTGCCATGACACCGGTCAGTCAGTAGTGCCAGCTTGATGCCAGATATGGGCCAGACCTGTTTTCTATCAGCCTGGGCCACATAACCCAAACTACAATCGGGCCAGATGTGGCATGCCATCACATAAACAGTGCCATCTATGCCGGGCCTGGCCCATATCTGGATGAAATTAGTCTTATCATGCTAGAAGTCAACCAGCAGTGCCGGCGTGATACCAGATCCGGGCCAGACCTGTTTGCTATGTGGGACAGTGTGAGCTGAATTCTGGTAAATGCTGGATTTCTGCTGTGCAATTTTTTTAATGACTAAGTGGTAAGAACAACATGAAGAACCACAAACAAAATTCACAGACACAAACCATGTTCCTCAAAATTGAACAACAGTTTGGAAGGCTAGAAAAAGCATGCAGAAGGTGTAGACAAGAGAGTCTCATAATCCTGCTGAGAACTTGTCAGCACCATGACCACAATGCAGTTAAAAAAAAGAAGGAAAAACTCTCTACAGTCATGCCAAAATCCACAAATGTAATCTCTTGGTGGGGACGATCTTACTTAGATGGATTTGTAGTGATTGCAGCTTGGCTGAACACCTCAATAATCGAAGAGCTTCACTGTTGCTTTCAGAGTTTTATTGAAAACTCAATTGAAGAATCATTTTTTCTCTAGCTTTCACTTGATTGTGCATTTTTAGCACGCTCAAATTCACAATGAAAAAGGGTGAATGAGCGCAGCAGGCTCTCTTCTAGAGGCTCTCAGTATGAGACCACCAGGATAGACACATATGTGTGTCCTCGTTTTTTTTGTTTTTTTGTTTTTGTAGGCATAGAAGATGGGTAGTGCTGATGGGTTCGGACAATTTCACAAGAAACCATCTCAAAAGTGTTTCAGACTTGAAAAATTGACGGCTGTAAAGAAATTACAGCAGTAATGGTAAAATGCAGGGGTACACCTCTCTCTTTCCTTCTTCTCGGACCACCCTAGCTTTCCCGTTCTCTGTCCAGGCTCTTACATTTGTTTCCCCCTCTCCATCATCTTGTTGATATTCGACTATTTTAGAAATGGAGTACGTAAATCAGGCACTGCTCTCACAAGTCTTTTCATTTTCTGTTTAAGTCTTAGTTCTTTCCATCACATTTATCTTTCTTGTTAGACGTTTATTTTGTCAGGATTTTACACCTCGTACCTCTCTTCACCTCTCTCCCTCTGGTAGTGGAGGATTTTGGCGCGACTCTGCGCGCACGGTAGCGTGCCTGAACGTCTGCGCTTCTCACTCTCAGATCAACATGAGCAAGTCACACATTCCAGTAGAGAGAGGGAGAATATATGCGTGTGTGAGAAGGAGTGAGCGGGGAATCCGGAGAAATACCTTAATGGATTATTGGATGGACCCGTTTGTCCTTTACGCAGAAGGAATCTGATTTTCGGACAAAAGCAATGGATTGAGTTTCAACTTGACCATTAATAGACGGGTAAGACATATGAAAACTAATAATATGATTCAGGTTTAGGTTTTCTCCGGGTATTGTCCAGTGCATGAATTTATCACTTGTGGAGTTAAGGCAGCCAAAGAAACACACTGCATGTGACAAATGTGCGTAATTCATGCTCAGTCGTGCATCTATTTAGTTAATCTCAAAGCACCTTTAATGAATTAATAAATGAATTAAGATATAATAAAACAAAATAAGAAAGAAAGTCATTTTTAATTTTTTTTTTTTTTTAAACAATCGTCTTGTAGCAAAAAAATTAAGCTGTCGGGAGAGTCTGGAAGTTGTCACCACGGTAATACTTGCATCCTGTTGTTAATGCTTGTAATCAAAAGCCAGATGCCATATGGTTGTCTCAAATCAGACTCAAAAACTTTAATACAAATTGAAACCGCTCTAAAGACTACAATGAACAGCAAGGAGATTAACACATTCGCACCTTGTTTTGGAGTTGATGCAGCTTAAAGCCAGTGCGTGTTGTAGTGGGAAAATGAGCTATTATTGGGGTGGCTTTAGTGCCTCTAATTATAGCGTACAAAATGAAGAAATCATTTTATAGACACAATGATACACACGCGTGTGTATTTACTCATAATCCCCCTACAAGAGAGTGTTTTTTTATTTTTATTTGTCGGTCATTGTGGATAATTACGCATGACGCACAACGTCTATACAATTATATCTACAGGTTCTATCACCGGTAAGACAGAAAGCCAACATGGACGCCGGTAGTCTGATACAACATATTGAACGAGACGAAGAGACCACTTCATGGCCATTGTCGATGACCACTGAGTGGTTGGAGGACGGAAACGAGACGACCTGGAATCAGTTCCAACAGCCCGACTGGCAGGTGAGAGAAAAACACTGAGATAACAAATGAAAGTGATTAAAGTCAGAACTGCAGAATTTAAAAAGATGAAATTTTGATGATGATATTAATGAAAGAAGTAAGAAAGACGACTCAGTGAAGTAAACAGGTGTATTCTTTTTTTTACTTGTATAATTTTGAAGGGTAAAAACCATATGTCAGTGACATCATTGTTGTGAAATCTAAGTAAAGTGCCTGAAACAGACAGAAACTCAACAGAATGAAGTAAAGGCTTACTGGTGAATGTGATTTGTCTCAGGGACAAAATGTGGGGCTGATTCAAAGGACATTTTCACTTCACAGACTGTATATTAGTTAAGTTATCTGAAGGCTGTTTGCTCATTCCTCTAAACACTTTTAACTCCCCCACTGTCATTTAAACCTGCACCACACCATGCACAGTTTACAGTCCTCTCCTCCTATCTGTGCTTGGCTGTCTGAAGTAGCTCATTGCTTTACATTTCTGCAACAGTGGTTGGCTGGGTATGAACAGGTGATGGATGTCAGGGTTTTCATTTCTGGCCCCAGATAACGTGCAGCATGTCTGTCCTATTAATTTTCTTATAGGTCAGTCAATGAAAGGAACGGGGTCTACAGATATTAAAAAATGCTGAAGATTGCTGGTTGCTCGTCTCAGAATAGACTTTACCTGGAAGCAGACTTTGATCAGTTTATCTCTCTTTGGGGATGAGATAAACTAGGAATTCCCTGTGTAAAGAAACTTAAGATTTCTGAAAATGTTTGTTGTTCAGAGTTGTTACGTCTCAGGAGGTAGACTGAGGTATCTACTAATTGTAAGGTTGGTGGCTCGATCTCTTTTCCTCTTGTCATTATGTTGAGGTATCTTTGAGCAAACCCTTAGTTTCCCCTGATGTATCCATCCGAGTGTGAGCGTTAGGATAAAAGCACTCAGACACAGGAAAATATGTTTGTACAAATGGGCTAATCAGGGTTGTAGTAAGAAAATGCTTTGAGTGCTCAAATAAATTAGGAATGTGCTACAAAAGTGTCAGTCCATATACCACTTGCTGTAGACATCCTGTACAGGGATAGGGTGGGGTTTGCAAATATATACGTATTTGTGAGTTCCTTTATTGTGGGTTTTTTTTTTTGTAACTGCGTATAAGATGCTGACATTAAAGGTCTCCTCTCCTCTCCCAGGTGGCTCTCTGGGCTATAGCGTACTCCCTCATCATCCTGGTGTCCATCACTGGGAACGTCACAGTGATCTGGATTATCCTCGCTCACAGGCGCATGAGGACTGTGACCAATTACTTCATTGTCAACCTGGCTTTTTCTGACGTTTCAATGGCGAGCTTTAACACCCTTTTTAACTTTGTGTATGCGCTTCACAATGACTGGTACTTTGGCTTGGGTTACTGCAGGTTTCAGAACTTCTTCCCCATCACCGCCATGTTTTCGTCCATATACTCAATGGCTGCCATTGCAGTGGACAGGTAAGAACGCTCTCCTATAGAGTTCAGAATAAGTGAATACAGACAATGAGCTATACTGTGCATTAAAAAAGGTAGACCGTACACTGAGCTGCAGACTGGCACAGAAGGTAATCTGGAGTACAGGTAAACCAGCATATGAGCATATGAAGTGTGAAAAAATCACAGCGTTAGGCTTGAAAATCTAGTTGTCTGAACATGTCTACAGATTAATGAGCTGTAGTTTAAATGTCATTAGAGGTGATTAGGAAAAGGCAGACATCTGTGCCGACCAGGGATGGAGTAGCACCACCTTCACAGAGTTGAACAGCAACAAAAACATAGAAATACCTACACAAAAAGGGATTTAAATAGGCGAGGGGAGGGAGGCTGGGGGCATGAGCGACAGGGGGAAAAAGGGGAACTCAGCACTGGTGCCAAAGGGATCATGTGAAAAATATGAGGTCAACTGCCATTAAAATGAACAAGTCATTACATCAGAGACTCTTTTGTGCTACCAATCAGACACTAATGGGGTGACTGATCCCCATTTTATGCAAACACCATTTAGAAAGTGCATTATGAAAGCAGTCAAAAAAAGGAATCATCACAACTTAATGAAAAAAATCAACATAGTGGTATATTGTTTCAAGTAACTAGCAGATCTGGGCAAAGGCATCTTTTTTCTGCAAGAACACGGATCATTTTCAGAGTTTCTGGAAGAGTAAGGGACATACGAGCTCAAACAACAGCTCCTTGAGGAGCATGATTTGCTCTCATTCTCAGCAGCCAGTCCAAATGAAAATGCTGCATGAAGGAGATATGGGTCAGCAGGCGGACACAGATGAAACACAGATGCCAGTAATGCTTACTGGAGCATGAATGGTCAGCCCGAATAAAATATCATATACTGAGCAAGATATAAAATCTATGCTCAGTATGTAATACTTCTAGTAAGTTAGTTACAAATTTATAGGACCGACCTTATGCAATATGACACTCCTTCAAGATAAAAATAATCAACATCAAAGAAGGGTGTTTCACCCTAATGACAACCTTACAATGATTTTGAACACACAGCGGGAACACAAACTGAGAATTAAATGTGTTATTAAGAACTATTTGTTTTTTGTTTTATTTTCATCATGATTTACTTGATGAACTCAGAATTGTTCACCTATATATGATGCAGCAAAACCTCTTTGTGGATTTAAACTATCCATAAACTCTTATGATTGTAATAAAGCTGTCCTATATAAAATAAACCACTATGGGATGCAAAGAAAAACTAGAAAACATCCAAGTCAGTGTGGTCCTCCTTTCGGAGGCCTGACCTAAATCCCACAGAACACCTGTGGGCTGCTGAAAAATGTCAGATCATTGATGCTTTAGTGGGGATGACCTGACAGCTTTGACTGAAACATGAAGGAAACCACAGCTGTTGCAGCAACTATTTGATTTTCCAAGTGTCCAAGTGTTTTCAGGTAGCTCTGCAAGCAAAATGATGCTGGACTAAATACTGAAACATTATAACAGCAATCAGCAATCTTTAGTTTTCGCGGGGAAGGAAGGTCTGGAAGCTGTGCTTAGATTGCTGCTCTGGTGCTCAGGACCTGGATAACGAGCAGATAATGGAAGAAGGACTAGCTTTTTATTTTAATTTTGAAAGTGTGAATCATTTTTAAATGGTATTAATCAATTCCCAATACTCTTCTTTTCCATTACTCTTATAGTATCTACTTTGATGTGACTTTTTAAAAATATGATGCAATTAATTGTTTTTTTTTTCTTTTTTTTTTCTGAAAAAAGCAGTTTATTAACCAAATCTTTCTAACAGATCCATTAATTCTTACAGTTTTTTTGGCTTCAGATTGATGAAGGTGCTGGAAACTTCCTCTTGTTTTTGGTCCACATTCATCTGACAGCAGCACACTGTTGCTCCTTGTGGTCATTATAAAACTACTCTATTGGATTAAGATCTGGTGACTTTGTTTGTGTGGGTTTTCTTAAGGGACTGTGTCTTCCTCCCACAGTCCAAAGACATGCAATTAGTGGGGTTAGGTTACTTAGAGATTCTAAATTGCCCATAGGTGTGAATGTGAGTGCGAATGATTGTTTGTCTCTTTGTGTTAGGTTTACATCAGACTGGGTAAAGGACACAGTGGGTAAAATAAGTGAAGTTGAATCCATCACCAGTTTTCTAAATAAATATACTTGTAAAGGTGCGATTGACATGAAATTCTCACCAAATGTTGGTAACAACCCATCAAATGCAAAAACGCAAAGAAATCAAAACATTGATTTCCATAAATTATGTGTAATAATAAGAAAAGACAGAGGGGGAAAAGTATTGAACCTGCTTACTAATACTTTGCACAAAAGACTTTGCAGGTAATGACAGCTTAGAGAGGCCACCTGAATGGAGAAACTAGTCACATGCATAGCTCAGGTGTGATTTTGGCCTATTCTTCCTCACAGACAGTCTTCAAATCCCGAAGGCTCCTTGGGTCCTATGAACTCCCATCCTTAGATCAGTTACATGAAGGGTGATGTATGCTGAAAAGCCGCCCCACAGACTATATGCTTCCAGTTTTTCACAGGATTGTTCAGCAAACTTTGAACATGCTTCAACATGCTCTTTCTTTAGCAGTGGTCTGTGTCATGTTCCAGCATGGTGAGTGTGCATACAGGCCATGATGGGCGAGTGCATTGCTTGCTTTCTTTGAACCAATTATACCTGCTGCTTCCAGGTATTTCTTTGGCTCTCCACAAGCAGTCCTCGGCTCTTTGACAACTTTTCTGATAATTCTTTTCACTCCTTTGTCTGAAGTTTTGTGGGGAGCACCTGGTCATGGCTGGTTTATGGTGAAATTCCACTTCCAGATTATGTCCCCAACAGTGCTCACTGGGACCTAGAGTAGTTTAGAAATTCTTCTGTAACCAATGCCATCAGTATGTTTTGCAGCAATAAGGTTGCAAAGGTCTTGAGAGAGCTCATTGGTTTTACCCATCATGTTTCGTGTAACACCTCAGTAATTTCAGCTGGTGTCATTAATTTCCATGTCTTTTTGCATCTCCCTTTCTTTGTGTTTTCAGTACTTTTCCCCCTGTGTCATTTCTCATCACTACACATAACATATATGGTTTGATTTCTTTCCACGTGTGGATTGGATGGGTTGCTACCGACATCTAGTGAGAACTTCATGTTAATAGCACCTTTAGAAATATATCCACTGAGAAAATTAGTGATGTGTTCAATACTTATTTTACCCACTATAAGTTGAAGAGAATGGATGGATGGACTTTGGAGGAGATATGAGTACATTGAACTCATTCTTATGTTCTTGAACACAACCTTTGTGATATGGTGCTTTATCTATCACACTGTAGTCATAAAGAAACTGTCAACAACAATACTCAGGTAGGTTGTGGCTCAAACATTACGATGAGACCCAAAACGTGCCAGGAAAAGAGATGTTCTTTTGCAAACTTGGTTGTAAGTGCCTTCTTATCAGCTCAAGGTAGAAATTCTCCTCTGACTTCTGGTGCCAATAAGACATTTTTAGCCAAAAAGACAATTCTCTGTAAACTCTAGAGATCGCTCTGTGGGAAAATCCTAATAGATCAGCAGTTTCTGAAATACTCAGACCAGACCACCTGCCACCAACAACCATGCCACATTCAAAGCCACCTTTGTTCTCTTCAGTGATGCTCGGTTTGAACACGAGTTCATCTTGACCGTGTCTGCATGGTTAAATGCACTGAGCTGCTGCCATGTGAGAGCCTCATTAGATATTTTCAGTAATGAGCAGTTGAACAGGTGTAGCTAAAGACGTGGCTGCTGAGTATATATTTTATTTGACTCTATGTCCTGAGCACAGATGTAGTGACAAATGAGCCATACACTAAGATCGGTCCAGATGTCAAATGTACTGGTAATGTGAAAATTCTTTCACACTAACTTCCCATTTATGGACTCATCGATTTATGTGGCTTATTTGGCACATTTTTTCGCAAAAAAAAAAAAAAAAAAAATACAGTCACTGTTTAACATAATCTCTAAAACTGCAGTGGCAAACACAAGGTCCGGGGGCCAGAATCGGCCCAACAAAGATTCAAATCTGGCCTACTTGATATCTTTTGAAAATGCGAAGGATAAATTTTGGTCTTTCAATTGTATTTTGATAAATTTTACAACTTGTCCTGCTGATAAAAACGGCTGGCCATTCATACTACACCAAAGTAACCTAGTAACAGATAAACTGAAATGATCTACCAGAGAAATTTCTGGAGGGGTTTGCAATGGGTCTACAAAAAATAATAATTAAACATGTAGTTAAAGATCTTAAACTACACTTTTTAGATATTTCAGATATTTCAATGGTCCTGCTCACCTAAGATCAAACTGGGTTGTATGGAAAATAACAACAAAGAAGTCAATATTAAGATTAATGTAAAAGGAAATAAAAACTCGTTATAGGTTCTACTTTCAAACTTTCATCTTTATGCGAAACGTTTATGTAAGATCTCATGAAGCCGTTATTATCCACAGAACATTGACAAAGCCACTCCACAATAATGTAAGTTTATGATTCATAACCATAGATGACCAATTTCACCGTAATTTTAACAATACCATGTAATGGTGCTAAGTTGAAAAAAGTAGACTGCATACTGGTTGAGATGGGTTGCCATAGCTACCGCATTCATTGGCAGTTATTAACATTATTTCACCTTCAACTTTTAATGAGGTAACGTCTGTATTATATGGTAGATTGCTGCAGTTAGTGACAGGGAAGGAGTTTTTAAATATACCATCATTAACCTGAATCACGGGATGTCAGTGATTTTTAATTATTTTTATTGTATCCAAATAGTTTTGGATTGCGTAGGTTTTAAATGGTTATTATCCTGGGCTTTTATCACTTGACCTCTGACAGTTAGCGTATATTCCACAAATAAATAATTACTAAATAAATGTTTTTGTTTGTTCAAAATAGGTTGTTTTGCAACTGATGGTTTGCAGCTGATGGTTTGATGGATGACTGGGTAGTTTTCTGTCATGAAAAGAAAATGTCACTATTTTCACACACTAAAAAAAGCTTTAAAGTATTGCCCTGTTTTCCCTATCAGTGGATCTATGACTCAGTTTTTCTTTAGACAAAGACACGTGAAGGTGTAACCATACAAAAGTTTCTGTCTTTTTCAGGTACATGGCCATCATCCATCCTCTGAAGCCTCGCCTCTCCTCCACCTCTACAAAGGTGGTGATTGCCCTGATATGGATTGTGGCAGTATCACTGGCGTTTCCTCAGTGCTACTACAGTGTGACAAGATTTTATTACCCCAGAACTGTGTGTATGGTTGACTGGCCTGATGATTATGGAGGAACACATCAACTAAGGTAAATGCATTTTGGCATGCAACATTTAATAAAGGCATTTAAGAACTTTGATCGCAAAGTTAAACAGATTTTATAGAAAAAGTCAGCTTTTCAACTACCGGCAAACTTGATTCCCCACCGCGTAGGAGGTTTTAAGGTCAAACAAGACTATGGCATGAAAATTAAGCTTTTTAAAAAAGAGCCTTGGAAGTCTTTCATGTTTTAACTTATATATATGTCTTCCAAAGTGCACTTCAGATAACACAAATCTAAATCTGAGAAGCTCTCCTTCACACAAACTGTTCAAATCTCACATTCATGTTTACATTCATTCTTGTTCATCAACCTTGTGTTGTGTGTCCTCATAAACTCTGTGCACTTGATGGGTAGCAGGAACACGTGTAAGGCTCAGTTATTCAAGTTTTAATAGTTTAAAACTTGAAAATAGTTTCAATAACTTGACTCTTTCATATTTTATCTATTGTATAATTCATCAAAACCTCTATAAGTTGCTAATGAGCATACATTTTAGAAGTGTGGCAGAAAGGTCGGTCCAGCTCACAACATGTTATTGACACAGGTTCAAGCTGCAGAAGGCAGCTGAGGAAAGGAAAAGAAGGAAAGTGTCTTCATACATGATTACTTTTGAACTTTATCTTTGATCTCCAAGGACAAATCCATCTGCCTGACTCCTTCAATTTGATCTTTATGTACTCATCTGATCTCTGTGATTGGCTTAGGTCTCCAATAACAAGCTTTATTCTCTAAAGCCTGACAAAGAAAGAAAACCACAGACAGGAAGACAGAGCCTTGGCTTCTCTGAGACCTCTTGCACTAAAACTGCTGGAAGGTTAAAATGTTTGTTGTTGTTTTCTGCCCGACATAGAAATTAAGCATTTATTATTCATGTTGCTAAACAGTTTCGAAGCAATTTTCCAGGTTTCATCAAATGCAAAAAGTAGTTATTGCTCGGTGAGAGACATGTAGAAAAACACAAACTGAAAAAATGTAAACGGTATATGAGCACACTAACATGGGATTAGTGGTGATGGCTTGGTGATAACAGCTGACACAATCTAAAGGTTGAATGTTGTGTTACCGTTTCTCATCTCTTTTTCTCCATGTAGTTATCAGTTTGCGGTTATAGTGCTGATCTACCTTCTCCCTCTGCTGGTGATGCTGGTGACATACACTATAGTTGGCCGATCGCTGTGGGGTGGGCACGTCCCTGGAGAGGCGTCAGACCATTACCATAGCCAGATAAATGCCAAGAGAAAGGTTACACTGTTCCTTTTTTTTTTTTTTTTACTACTCAGTTTGACTACAAATCCTCTGAGCTGACCTGATCTTAAAGGAAAAAAACACAGCAGCAATTACTCAGGCTCATATGTCTTCTTATTTTCCATAGGTGGTGAAGATGATGGTTGTGGTGGTGGTGACGTTTGCCCTATGCTGGCTGCCCTACCATGTCTACTTCATACTGGGATCATTTAACAGAGACATTTATAAGCAACATTACATTCAGCAGGTTCACGGATGCCTCTCTGTTTTATATTCTTGAATCTGTAGTTTTGTGTTTACTCATTATTTTTTTGTGTCTTCGTCAGGTGTATCTGGCCATATTCTGGCTGGCAATGAGTTCCACTATGTACAATCCTATTATTTACTGCTGTCTAAACCAAAGGTGATCTGGCAGTAATTGTGCCGAGTTTAAAAATAATATTATAGCTTCAAAAACGTCAGTAAATCGGACATAAATCCATCTTTTCCTGCAGATTTCGCGCTGGTTTCCGTCATGCCTTTGCTTGGTGTCCCTTCATCAAAGTGTCAGAGGAGGACAAGATGGAACTGCAGCACACACACACCTTCAGAGTCACCATGACCCGCAGCCACCGCAATGACATGTCATCTATTAGAACAAACACTACATACGTCTCAAACACGCTTGCCAGCAGTGACCTGGTCACAGAGAGAGATGCTCGCAGACAGCTTAAGAAGAACACGTGCAACTCGCATCCGGTGAAGAAACTGGACGACACAAAATCTCCAGCTGTGGCGCTTATGGAGCACACCCAGTGATCGCTGACAGACATCATGATGAGGACATTCTCAAAGGGAAGGCAGTAGGATTTTACTAAATTGTGAATAAAAACACTACAGCTGGTGGAGACAGAGGAAGCCCTGCGGAGTACTGGACAGAGTTAATCAAACTAAGGCATTCATTCCTGTGGATCAGGAACTTTGTTTGGGTCAAATAATACATGATGGATGAATGAATGTGACTATCAAGCTATTGCAGCACATACAAGACATTTAATTATGCCACTGAAACATTTGTGGCTGTGTGTAGATTAATCCAACCTTGATCTATTTACACTGCTCCAAGAAATTACGCGAACACTTAAATATGTGTTCATCGTGGTCAGATAACCTTTACTGATATACTTTGTGTAATTAAAGTGAAGTAAAAGTGGAAACCAAAATCCTCACACCAAAGTCAAACATAAATTCACAGGCTGTTCCAGCTTGTGTCATAATGTGCCTCGGTAATGTTTACTGGATGCACTGGATATGTCTGGATATACTCCTGATGAGATACTGGATAGTATCCTGGAAGATCTCCTCCCAGATTTGTTTCAAGGCATCAGTGAGTTACTTGATAACCTATTTGGCTAGTTGATAGTCAGTTTGAGGATTTCTCTCTGGTATCAGATAGCAGTCAGGGTATCACTGGCCAAGCAGGTGGAGATCTGTGCAAGCCTCCAAGGATATGCTTCCCCAGACTATCACTGACCCACTGCCAAAAGGTCATGTTTATCATGGCATCCACAATCTCTTTAAAAGCTATCATATATGCTCCGTGTGCACAGGTCTCACTAAAGGACATAAGACCGTTGTAAGTCTAATTCTAACAGTTTTGTCAGGGGCATGCACATCACTAGCCTTATTTTGCAGAGCTCTTGCAGTACTCCTCCTCACCCTCTTTATAGCAAAGAAGCAGATACTTGTCCTGCTGCTAGGTCGTTGCTTTTCTACAACTCTGTCCAGCTCTCCTTGTGGCACAGCCTGTCTCCTCCTGGTATCTCCTCCACACTCTCGGGACTGTGCTGGGATACACAGCAAACACCTACTGGAGGACATGGAGGAGTGGACTACCTTTGCATCCTAAATGGGATGCAGGTACAATTTCATGCAAACAGCAGTGTCAAGGACGCTAGCAAAAATTAAAACAAGAGAAAAATCAGTCAGGAGGGTTAAGGAAGGAGCAGTGGTCTGTCGCCACTTGATGCTCCTCCAGTGCAGCGGCTGTGACTTTCATCCTAACTGGACAGACTGATTTCCCTGAAGCAGAACTGACTTTGTGTCATAGTGTGATGATCAAGTGTTCCCTTCATGTTTTTAGAAGTGTATTCCACTCCAAAAGTGTCCTCCCCCTGTTGCCATGCTCTCTTTCATCCATCTTGGACATTCAAGTGTTACTGGAAACATTTAACTGTGGTTACTGGTTTTCTTGTGCAGAGAACGGACAAACAGTCCAAACCCTTAACAATGTTGTTGTGTAGCGTCTTCATTTGATATAAGGCTTTCTTTAACAATTAAGCTAAAATAGGCGTTTTATTTAATTTCTCTTCTATATTAACTCTCGATAATCAAAGTAATTCACTCATTCTTTAAGTTTGTTGGGTTTCAGAATTGGCAGCAACAGCGTAGTTAGTCTTTTTAGTCTGGCTTTTACTCATATTGAGGACTCATAAAACATTCAGAGATCAATTAAAGCTCAAAGTGATGTCAGAAAATCACCAGTAAACACGCCTCCTTCTCCCATTTTTGCCTTAAATTAATCAGTTGTCTGGTTTTGCATGTATTCGTTGCTGTGCAGTTCTTTCCCCCTTCACACATTTGTTACATGGTGCACATTAATACAGTATTTCTCCTCTTATATTGTGAGTTCACTGGATAAAGTCTACATGAAAAATTCAAGTGCCGCTACTTAGTACAATCAAATGTGAAACATAGTGATGCTATCTACTGAAGACATTCATGTAAAATACCCAGAAGTAAATATGAAACTTGTGGTTGTCGCACAGTTAAGAGTCAGATAATGACGCTTTAAATATTGTAACCTGTGAGCATTAGGTTTCAGAATGAAGCAAAAATGTTTGATTATTGGAAACTTTTTGATGTTTTAAGCACACACTGTGGTTGTGTGAAGTGTCTTGTTGTCTATACCAAGCAGGATTTTTGTCGTCTGTGGCTGAAATAAAAATGTTTAAATAATGTGACAGTAAGCTAATAAAGTTACAATACAGGAAGTACTGACACACATTTATTTGTGCCCCATCTAACGCCTGAATTATAACTGCTGTAGCTGTTAACAGAGCTCTAAGTGTGTAACTTCAGCACCGCAGGGTTGCTTTGACCTTTAGTTCATACTGAATACTTTTGTAACACCACTGAAGAGATTCACAACTACGTGAGTGCTAAATCATCAATGCACAAACAAAAACAAACCAACCACGACATCATGTTTACACAGGTTTGACTTTATTAAGTGACTGATTGGCGATGTGGGACAGATACATCCTTTGTTAGCAGAATCACACAGATTCAAGCGTTTGTGTGCGACTGGACATTCTGGGGTCAATCTGAAGGCAGAGTAAAGGAGCTACCGGCCTTCTTTAATCATACAATATGACTAAAAGGTAGGAAAGGACATTCTTTTAGCTCAGCTGGTATTCATCTGAATATTTAAAAAGGTGGCAATAAAATACACTTGTGCATCTCAGCCATATCCCATCCTCCACGGGCACCACTGATCTTACAATAGAATATTTTCTTCTTGTGCTCTTTAATTGCTTCATAATGAATCTAAGCCATCGTAACTTTGAGAGTTTTTTTTCTTTTTGCTTTTAACACAATGAAAATAAATATCAATTTGCATAAGTTATGCTACATGAATGAGCCTGACAGTAGTTACCTTAGACATCCTCCTGAGCTTTTAGGAGCACATGGTAATATTAAAGGGGCGAGTAGAGTACGTGCTTTTATTATTGGCCAACATGTTAAAACTCTTTTTAAAGTTCTGTAATGTTCGTATGAGTTTATACACACTATGGCTGCTGTTGTTATTCCCCTGGCATCCGTGTTAGCACCACATTTCTGTTTCATAATTAAGTAGCTGGTGATGAGGTTAGCCAGGACTTCTTAAGAAATGAACACACTAACTGCAGCTGTGACCGGTACCAACAACAGGAGACATAGTTTACACTACAGACAATAAAAAGATACTGCTCTCTTAGATAAGACCAGTGGTTCTCAAACCGTGGAGCAGGGAGCAACTGCAGGTGGGCCGGAGAGGACCAGAGGAGAAATGTTTTTAGGAAACATAAACAGAACAAAGAACAGGATGGAATGAACTTTAAATGCTAAAAGACGTGTGAGCGTTGACTTTGAGCACCACTGGGTTCTCTAAATCTGCCACTGCAGAAGTCCCTCTTCTGTCATGCTTGTGCACAGAAATACAGGACAGGTACCACGTGAGGGAACGTCTTCGCTGGCTTCCTATGTGTGCATCATATTTTGCAACAGTAACATTTTTCTTCAACATCTCCCGATATATAAAAATACAATAAATAACAACAATGTATTTATAACATTGTTTTATATGTGGGTAAGATATCAAATCCCAAAAAAAAAGCAAAAAATAAAATAAAATAAAGAAAAGAAAAAAAAATTCCCTTTCATCTCAGTATCTCATATATCGCATCCCTTTCATGCTTTCCTGTACATACGCGCGTAATCTACAGCAGACACACAGACTTTGGTCTAAAAGAGCGTTTTTATGTTTTTGTTTCTACTGAACAAGTTAAAAGAATCAATCTGCGATGTTTCTCTGCAACTGGTGTGCTGACCTGCAACTTGTAAGAGAATGCAGTTACCAGAGAATTCCTCCAGATGGAGACAAAGGGGGTTTACAGGCATGTGACTGTCCTGCATTTAAAAAAAAAAGACAAGGGTTGCTTGTGCGTGTTTTATCCACAGAAATTGCAAACTTGCAATATCCTTAAGAGACTGGGTGCTGTTACAACAGTTAATAAATCTAACCACAACAGAGAGAAAGCCTCTCCTTTTCTCTGCCTCACGTAGACGGACTAAAGCAGCTACCGGAGCGTGATATGTCGACTGGTCTTGTTTGATTTAGGAGGAACGGAGACAATGGTTGAGAACTGGGGCAGGAGAGGGGATGAGATAACAGTGAGATGCAGAAAATGTTCTATTTGCTGTTCAGCTCCTGTCTTAGCCGGCAGCCCACGGCTGTGATGAGTGCAGCTCCTTTTCCACTTCCATCCTCTGACAGCAAGAACTTGACATTACAGTTTGGAGCCAGTTCTTTAACCGTCTGGTGCATGATCAGGGAGAAGCTACACAGAGACAGAGGATGTACATGTTAGACAGAAAAGCAAAAAGAGCCAGTCTAAATGTGATGATACGGTTAATGGGTGTGACAGTGACACAAGAGGGAGCGAAGGTATGGTTTACCATCTCCTCGCCAAAATGACCCTCCCCCACCCCCCCAAAAAAAAAAAAAATTCTGTAAGAAACTCACTTGTTACATGTTTATCATGTTCAAAAACAAAAGTAAGACAACCAGGCCTCTACTATCTAACCAGGAAACAGGCTTTTCTGCATAGCTTAGCATAAAATAAAAGTTGTTTTCACACATGAGCTCCAAAAAAGAAATCAGAGAATCAGATACGGACACTGCCTGCAGTTTTGCTGCCTCAGTTTTAGCACACAGCAGGAGCTCATTTCTATCAGCTACAGTACCACAGTGGAGATGTTTCAGGGTGTGCAGGAGATAGCTACTTGCTAGCTTCGAATTCACAGGAGTATTATCTGGACTGGTTTCACAAAACAATGCAATCAGCCATCACACAGACTTTCCACACGGGATTTGGAGAGTTAATGACAGTTTGAAATCGGATCTGCACCACCATCTTATTATTACTTCCAAATAAATAAATTTAACACCATGACTAAGAAAAAAAAAAACTTTCACAAAACCTTTTAAAAAGTAGCAAAGAATGATCCTTTCTGTTAGCAGCCTGGAGCTGCTCTTCTTAACTCGATGAGCCTACTATTGTTTCTATTTGTCTGTCTGCTGCGTAATTATTGTAACTACAAAGATACTTTTTTTGTGAAAATGGTGACATAACACAGCAGCTTATGAGGTCATCATATTCCACTTCACTTCATTTGCCAGTGAATTATTTTTAACATGAAATAATAAATAAATAAATAAATGGATTAAACTTACTGTGGATGTAATTTGTACAGGGTCCCATCTACCCCTACGGTGATGTCCAAATGGTCCAGTCCACGGTTCTCTCTAATCTTATCGACCACTGCCGCCATTCCTGCGCCACATAGCTGAGCTGCACGACGTGACACTGTTCCACAAACCTGACAAAGAAGACATTTATCATTATTGCAACAGCTTTTTGAGCCACACAAGTACATATCAGTCAAACTGAGAACAAATACAGCCTACGTTTCAGTTTCTCTCCTACTCCTGTGTCACATAGTCTTTCATAAAATAAGGCTAACAAGATAGTATTATGGTTCTCTCTCAGTGTCCAAATGCAAGTCTAAGACTTTGATTACTAACTAACTAACTCTTCTTTACCTCTTTGACTATGATACTGTCATCACAGGTGCTGTCCAGGCCCAAGTGCTGCAGGATTGATCGCACCTGCAGCAAAGCCAATCTGTCACTGTACAAAGATACAAACAGAAAGTCATTAAAAGATGACAAATGAAACTTTAGTAAGGAGACAGGAGCAATATCTTATCATTAAATAGACAACACAATCAGTGGTACGATAGCAAGCAGTGCTAATGGAGTATAATCTCCTGTCCAGATGACTTCTTATCTCGTGGAACGGTGAACTGACACTCTTATTAGACGCAAACAAAGATAGCGCTCATTGTTTACCTTTCTATCTGTGACAGGAACTTTGTTTCAAAGATGCTTCTGGTCTTTAGTGTTTCAGAAATCTGTCCTCTGAACAGGAATCCTTTTTTGGTCATGTCGATGAGGATGTTCCGCACGATTTCACCGAGGTACATGCCGCTGATCATTTTCTCATATCTAAAATGCAGAATTCAAGCAAAGACAAAGGAAACATAAATATACGGTATTTACATGCACCTCAAAGATATGAATGGATCCCCTGTATCTTTTCAAGCATGGGATGGTGTGTATGAGGCACCTTTGTTTCCCCGGGTTTAGGGAGAAGTCGTCCACAGAACGGTCGTACTCTGTCCTGATGTCGTCCAGGCATCCGTTGTCTCCAAAAGCTCCCCACTCCATGTTGACACACATCTGTCCCTCATCGCCCTCAATCATCTCAACGTTCTTCATCTCTTCCATGTAACACGCATTACTGCCAGTACCTGTAATCAGAGAGGCGCATTATATAGATATAACACAAAAAAGCTGAATATTTTATAAAAACAAGTGTTACTTTAAGGTGAACTAACCGGCGATAAGACCAACTTCACAGGTGGGTTCTTCATAGGCACAGGTCATCATGGTTCCCACTGTATCATTCACTACAGCAACCACGTCCAGATCAAATTCCTTCAGACCAGACAAACAATATAACGTGCCACAAAAACACCATGATTCCATGTTGTACTGAATGATACTGCTCCTCATACCTCTCTCCTCTTAATGGCGTCCCTCAACAGTCCCACCACATCTTCCCCTTCGCAGTCTGTCGCCTTGAAGCCTTTGGTCCATGTCACCAAGATGCCCTGTACACAGACGCACACAAGTTTAGTTTATCATGTGACAACTTCATGGATGGCTCAGGCATCAGTTCATGAAATATTATTTGGCTTTTTTCCCCCCTTGATGTTGCTTATCGGTGGACAAGTTATGCATAAATCACAGCTTTAGTTTGCAATACAGCCAGTTTAAGACTCTCAGAGTATAGAAGAAAGTACAGGGCTGTACATAAAAGACGAAGAAGCAGGAGTATTACTCACAGCGTCCAGGCTGGTCTGTCGGCAGGGGAAGGAGAAGGTGAAGCCCAGAGGAAGACGGGCATTCTTCATCCCCATATAGTCCAGGAAGTCACTGATACAGTGCACGATGTGATCGAACAACTGGAAAAATAAAAAAGTGACACATTAAAAATTGCATTTGCAAAGTACATCACTAGTCTTAATGATGACTCAAAGCACTTTACGCCATAAGGCCGTATTTGCTCCTTATCACAGAAACCAGAGGAAAGTCTCTCTCTGC